AATACTCTATCTCTTTCCTACTCTCTAAATTGCAAACAACAACACAAGACTATGCAATAAAAGATCCCTGTGAACATGATACCCTCTGCTTTATGCAAAGGATCAAGTAGGTTCCTAAGTCAATACTCCTAAGTTATTTTGACATAAATCTAATAAGTTGCCAAAAGCTATGTACTAAACTGACGTTACTATAATTGAAATATATGCAATGGTATAACGCATTGTAATTACTTATAGTCTTTAATTACGAACTAAATTAATTATCGGATTAACTTACATGTATTTTAGTTGACAATACTCAACTAGTTTCGAGATTATTCGGGATTCTTAGTCATGAATGGCAGCTAAAGGCTAAGGGTATCAAATTATTCTAAAACTAGTCGAGTATTCTCAACTAAAATACATGTAAGTTAACCTGGTTGTTCTTACATTAAAATATAAATCAATCACAATAAACAAACAACAATAAACAACTTTTAGTAATTCTAGCTACGGCTCATAGCAATTGTATATTGTAATCATTTGACCTAATAAATACTTTATTGCTATTAATTAACACCCTTAGGCCTAGATAGATCTAGTGATTACTATAACAAATATGAAAGAAATGATGAAACCATGAAATAAATACTACAATTGTTCGTATAGGTGTTTTTTACTTTATCTATTACTAATGAAATATATAGTTTTTCTATTATAAATTTAATTTTTTTTTCTTTAGACATCCAGGCTATCTATAAAACGAAATAAATCATTATCGTCACTCTTAATTATTTTTTCCAAAAATCAGTAGTCGCCCAGTGTTCAAAGTATTCTATATACCAAATGTCATCAAAAGTAATTTCAGTATTAAGTTGTAAAAAACTAAGCAGGCATTATGCTAAATTCAATGACTCGAACATAAATTTGACAAATTCAGAGATCTGAGCTAGGAATCTGTTAGGATCGCTGTTCTGTAAATATTAACTAAACTGTCACTGTTCATGTATGTTATTAAACAACAAAGTCAAATTCAACAAGAAACTTGATCTTAATTAGTAAACAGAGTTTACTAATTAGTTAGTCATTGGATCAGAAATTACATTTACAGTGAAATGTTAAGGGGCCACGATGGGGGAGACGATATTAATCAATCTATGTGCACAGGTGTTCTTAACTTTGCAAGTAGATAGCACGTTACTGAATGGATACAAAATTACAATTATCTTTTCTGTATTATCTTAAGATAGTTCAAAGACGATAACACGGCCTCGATTTTATTAATATTTTTTACGAATATTTTACGTCATACCATTTCCAATTCTGTACGGATTTAGATTTTTTTTGTGCAATTGGCAAGTTTCTCTCTCATGTTGATTTAGTATTAACTTTGTTGCGATTGAAATCGGTTTCTTATTTGTGAAGGTAGTAGACTCCTTCTGCAATATTGTATTCAAGTATGGGAAATGTGTACATAACAAATATAAGTTTATCACAATAGCAACAGTCAACTACGTTATTCTATTTGTGATTATATCTGTAAGTATGTTTATACAAGCGATCACTGCTTGTATAAATATAATTACAGTAGACCAACACTTGACTGTAGTCCGAGAATTCCAAAATTAAATCTCAGCATAAACCTCTGTATTTTCAAATTTGTTATTCCTGCACCAAATTTTATTAATCTGTTTAGTAATCTATGTGTGATAGAGTAACAAACATCCATCCGTCGTTACAAACATTTGTGTTTATGATATGTGTAGGTATATATTTATTTATCCTTTTTTACTGACTATACGCGCCGCTCACAAAGATGTAAATTTTCTGTATAATTTTTCACACATTTACTTTCATACAAAACGTGGCCTGAGATTTACAAATACAATAAATGGGGGGAGGGTAGGTTAAGGGATTGTTATTAATAGGAGGTTAATTTCCATGTTCCCTGTTAGGTCAACCTCTGATTGCGATCCTCCCTGAAAACTATAGTGGATCTTGACTTGCTTTCATCATCACCTATCATCACTCATTGGTGCTCCTCCAGTGTATACCACCTGTATAGGCGGCGTTACCATTTCATTTCCACCCATAAAAAAAATATAAAAAGCCAAAAAGGTTACAAAAATTAGTGCAGCTGTTTCGATGGATAAGCATATTGAAATTCAGAAATAGATTTTTTTTATAATAATAATACCGATTTTAGAACATCAAATTGAACCTGGTTCTGAAACTGCAAAAAACTGCGTCTTTAGCAATCATAATTAAACTTAGTAGTTTTCATAAGTAAACTTAGTAGTATTCATAGTTGAAGACTTTTATCCTTTTTTTATTTATTGACTCCTCCATAAAATGAATAAATATAATAATAATACGTTTTGTCGGTGAACGGTCTTATCCCAACCAGTCTGGAACAACATCTCAGACGGTTGGGATTCCGAGGCGGCAGAAAGCGGTGCTCTTAGATTCTGCCCGCATTGTACGCCGGTTTCTCTCCCTGGGGCCCTGAACCCCGGCCGACTGTGCTCCTGCCGGGGGTTAGTTTGCCATCTCCTCTCCTTGAGAGGGGAGATGTGAATTTTTGTAAATATTAAAAATATAATAAAATGCAATGCAAAATGTATCGTTCCATCGAATATATCCATATACACATTCTCACCTTTTCTCTTAACATTAAATTAGGCATGCAAAATTAGATATGACATTCAGAAACAATACAAAACTTTTTTCTTTTTTAATCGACTTAAAAAATACCTCTTATGTTTAATTTCTCCTTCGATTGTATTTCTTTGCGTTCGGATAATATGATTATTCGCTAGTTTTTACCATTATTTTTTACAAATTTTTTTCATTTTAATTGACTTGAAATAATGCCTCCTATATTTAATTTCCCAATTCGCTTATAATTTTCGCGAGTTTTGATTATTATATTTTAATAACTTGTGTAACTCCTGTTTTGATTCCATAGATATTTTATTAAGATTAAAGACAGGTTTTTCTTTCTTTCCCATGAGTGTTGTGAGAGGGGACTAAGGGAACTAATGTTTGAGGAATGGGTAGCAGCGTCCCTCTTAAAACATCACCATCACGGTTGCTAATCCGCTTGCCAAACATGGTAACTACTAGCAAAACCCTCTTATAGGGCAGGCCTATATTCAGCAATGGACAGTAAACGACTAACATGATGAAAATGATAGACGGGATTTTCTTATTTTTAAATTAAGATTTATTATAAAAATAACAAGACAATTATTGAGTTATAAGTTGTAGAAATTTGAACGACTGAGAATAAATCTAATAAACATGGCTATGAAATTCAATTCACGCCTCTCCGATTCGATTTTGGTTGGTTTTTTAATATGACCTACTTAGAAAATTGTATTCGCGTGGAATAACATCTTAAATTACGTATTCTGATTAGGTAAATACCGATTTTTATACGTTTCTAAAAACCACTGTAGTCAACGACACAACAGTTGTGATACAGAATAAAGATCAAAGGATAAATTCAAACTAAATGGCTTACGACTGCATGAAAGAGCAGCCTTTGTGTATTTTCTAACTTTAATTAGTTTTAAAGTCGTAGGTACTTTATTTATCTATTCAGATAAATATTAACCAAATTAAATGACACTGCGAATCTTATAGGTTTCCATCGGTTTACTTGCATTCATAATTTTTCTTCATATATCAAAGTTACAATAATTGTATTGTTTTTTAATAACTATTTTCGCAACTTCCTTAATGTAATTTATTTTTCTGTAGTTTAGAAAAGCAACTAAAATGACCGATGTTTGATGGAAAGTGATAAATGCCGCCTACAGATATGAACAGTTCCACGAACATCACAAAGTATACTGTGACGCCCATGGTAACCTTCATACATATATTATTTCTATATATTATAACAAATTATTAAGGTCATATAACTGTTTCCAATGTTTTATTTAGAACCGTACATCAATTTATTCATCACCACAGCATATAAATATAATACAAACGATGAGAGTAGACGCTTATTAGAACGGATTTTACGATGGGACCAAAGGAAATAAATTGCAATTGCGGAAATTCCAATTTCGTATTATAGGAAGCACAAAAAAGTTTGTTACTTTAATAATCAGGTCAACTGCGAACACATTCTTCGTAATGCTGCCGCAGTTGTGTGCTGTTTCCGCGGACATTCATATTTTTGTTTAGGCATCATTGTCTACTGGCAGGACATCTATAATACTTTCGCTAATTTCCTAATGCTAGACAGAACATAGAAATAATATCTTGTAAGACTCTAATAGTGGTAAAATTTACAACTACAACTTACTTATACAGGGAAGAGATTGTTAGTAATGGGGTCTAAAAGTCCCATTGCTAGCATTACACCCTATCAAGTTGATTTCCATGTGGCTCCCTCTAAAAACTATCGTGATTTATTCTTGTTATAATTTACTTGTAATCTCTTATTGGTGACCTACATAAACACAGCTGGAAATACTATTCTATTTTCAACCATTCAAAAAACTTAACGAAGTTTTCTAAATTGGCCCGGGTCTGGGTATTCTGAGTTATGCTCCCATTTAATCATAACTTGGTTTTTCATATAAATTATCCTAACTTGAGGACCAAGCAATTGGTGTGATTTACAATCACACTTGTTTATTAATAAACTTTGCTAGTAGCAATTGTTGTACGTACGTATATATACATATAGACACGTATTTAAATTTCTAAGTAAATATAAAGAACGTAATATATCGTAAAGTTTTGTTATGCGTGCATTGTCAATCTCATAAAGAACTAGGATGTTATAGGCTTTTGCACTCATTGTTATAATTACTATTACTTCACTAGTGGATCCAAAATACATATTCATGACAGACAGAATTTTTTTCTGATGTAAATTGTAGAGAGTAAAAAAATTGTAGAGAATAATAACAGACTACAGAATAATAAGGAATCCTATGGACTTATTTGTAACCTATCTATTGATAATGAAACAACTTTAAAGAAAAAAATTTTAATATACTACTAATCTCCATTTTTTAATAAAAAAGAAACACATTTATTACTTTTTGTACTTAAACATATATACATTTATACAATAGGTCGGTAAAGCTAACACATTAATATATCTACACATATGTATCCACATGGTCTCTGTACGCAGAAGTTTTTCTGTCCATACAAACAACACAGCTCACTTGTCCGTGTTTAATGTCACTTTCCATTTCTAGGTAATGTCCACGGTAAACTCGATTTAGTTTGTTCACATCCCTTGCTTGTTATAAAAGACTTACGTTCTGTCCGTTCGAATATTTCGCCGACGACCGTAAAGATCGTATTGTGGTCAACCGAACTGAAGATGTGTGATCACCACGGCGTAACAACGAGGCCTGGTTGCCTCCAGACTCCCTGTAAAATAAAATATTATTTATTCAACTTCATAAAAAAGGGCTGTGATTTTTATCGAGTGAATGTATTTAGATAAACTGGGGTTATTGTAGATTCGGAAAGAATGTTAAAATAAAAGTTTGTATTAAAATATTAGCTTTTACCAGTGAATATCACTGGTGTCAATGTCCAGGGATCATGATACGAGTATGTCTATTGACCGGGATAAATAGTACCCTATATTCTTTTCCATCCTATGTATAATATATGTATAGCAAATTTCATAGTGAATATATATATATATATATATATATATATATATATATATATATATATATATATATATATATAGATTATAATTTCATAGTGAGTATATTATTGAGACTTTCAGACGTAACAACAAATAAACAAACAAACAAACAAACTCACTCACTTTCACATTTAAAACAAACACACACACATACACGCATATATTAATGAACGGCGTGATATTAATTAGACATGTTACATTGAAAATATTTAAATTTAAAACTCGAAATTGGGTATTTACATGCAGCCTTCCCGCCGTAATAAGGGGGTTTTAGCTCCGCAAATAAAAACAACAGATTCAATCGTAACAAGATTAATATGCTGCCAACAAGGTTACTCCATTATTGGCCCCATATTAATCTCGGCCCCATATTAATTGTGAAGAACCAGTTCAGAATTGGCGGTGTAATAGTATATATATTGCGTAATATAGTTGTAAAAAATCAGATGATTTGATAACCTACTAATAATAAACTATATATATATATCATAATATATGATATATATCGTTTAAAAACAAACTGTTTTATTCATAAAAATTTCAAACCTCTTATAAACCTATTCTATCGATTATCTTTTTCCTTTATGTTAGATTCTCGATTTAAAAAATGTGACAATACAGTGTAATAGTTAAAATAGGTTTGTAGATGGTTGTAGTTCATAAGAACTACATTTCTTCCTTACTCATAAGAGTAAGGAAGAAAGTTTTAATGCTTATTCGATACCTACCGGCTAAATAATTGCCTTACTTATTATTTTTTTATATTTATTACTTCACAGGCTGGACAGCTAGCATTGCGATACTCTGGAGTAATTACGCCTACACTACATAATTTACAAAAATAACTTTGATTTGTGTTCCTATCTGTTAAGGTAAGGTAGGCGTCCAAAGTTCCGCGTCGCACGCTTCGAACGAATCGCAAATAACAAATCTGTTTGTAAGTAGTTCATCTATTGTATTCGCAGTAATTGAAATGCCGACGCAACTGTCAATTGTTATTGTTGTCGGGCAAACGAGGTAATTTACGTGTATGAAGCTTTGAGTATTTGGAAAGTGTTCGAAGCAGACACGCAGGGTGCGTTCGCTGATCGGCAGTTCGTATGACGGTCATCGACACGCAACGAAAAATGGCCTTTACAAGCAACTGTGTCGGTTATTACTCATACGTTACGTGTGATGAAACTTAGTGAACGCAGTTGTATGTATGGATGCAGTTTCTGTACAAAGAATACTAAGGTCCGTGGCGTCCGATGCACGGGAGAGGAACTGTTAATTAATTAAAGCTCGCCAACCTTTAAAGAACACCAATATTATCATTAATATTATTTTAGTTTTTATTTGTTTATTGTTGAATTCAGACCTTTCGAAATCGGCCATAAGAAATGCTCTGAACTACTAATAAATGAAGTCTGTAACTTGCAATTAATTACTTTTCTAATAAATTTGTTAATTTATGTAATTTCTAAAAGAAAGAGTCAGAGTCAATCTCCGATTTTGATAATTAAATATGCAATTGACAAAGTCTCGCGTATTCGTGCTTTTTTAAATTGATTATGATAATAATCTAAACCTATGACAGTATTGTGTTTATCATATAGTTTTATATTTATTTACAATTATAAGAAACCACGTAAAAATTAAGGATCAATATTGAACGAAGAGCGCGGCTTTTCCTGTTGGTTACACAGGTGTTCCTTAATTTATTACATAAGTGAGCATTAAGAAGAGGTTTCTCGAAATTGCTATAGAAACAGAAATTAATGAGTTCAGTGAGAGCGAAGCTTTGGGAAACAGTCCGTTGCTATTCATTGAAAATTATAAACTTAAAAAAAAATATATTAAAAATAATATGCTATCAATATGAGAATAAACTATAGGATTTAATTTTAATTTAAAGTCGGAAAGAGTAATCAAAAGACTTTGAAAGAGTAATTAAAATCAACGAAAAATTTACATAGACATTGACATTGACATATTGTGTGTAGACACAAAAATACAATTACGAGTAAATTAAGAAATATCTTCTTTCAAATTAAATATCAAACAATTTAATTTACCAATTTAATAAACAATTTAATTTAATTTAGATTTTGCACCTGTTTTTAAGTAAGTCGAACCAGAACACGTATCAAAAGAAATCCATGTTATACTAAATTTCTACGCAACTCAATCAAAATTTGTACTATGCCTACAAATTATTTTTTACTTTCACGTGCACTTTGAGAAATAAATTTTCGCCATGTAAAATATTTTACATGGCGCTGTATGAATATATTAATATTAGGTAAAAATTTTATTTAAAAAGAGTAGTATATATTTAGGACAGTCTCGTATATAATGAGCGAGCTTACATCTTTATATATTATATTATAAATATATAATATTTCCGCATATTACTTTATATGGAAATAACAGTAATTTACGACAACGCTTTCGGAAATTGGTTCTTTGAACATTGTGGTTTTATTATACGTACAATATAGTATATTATTAAGCACCGTTGACTTATATAAAGCAAATAATTTACCCAGTTTAGAAAGTTATTTATACCACACATACATTTGGACAAGTATAATTTGGTTCATAAATAAAACCGGCTTCAACCGTAGCAAAACCAGTTATTTTGATTTTAAGACTCCTATAGGACCAATTTAAAAGCATATCCTTACAAATAAAAAAAAAAAAAATCGATTTATAAATGACTAAGTTCTGATGTAACAAAATTTTTTTTTATATAACACACTCAATGGACACACATTTTAAATAAATAAAAGTATTAAATATTATAATTAAAAAAATACTAATTGTAAACCAATAACTGAAACTAATATATTTTATACTGAAACTAATATAATTTTAATTCCGTACATTTCATGGTCCGTCCGTCCGTTCGCCTGTCAACACTTTTTCTTAGGAACGTGTGGAGATATCAAGTTGAAATTAATATCATACACTCAGGTCTGTAATCTCTTAAAGCAGTGAAAAAGTCAATGAAACTTCTAAATCGACGCAGTCAAAAGACACGGCCGTTTATGTTTCATTTATATCGCATATTTTGATATTTATAATGGGAATCAAAATCTATGAGGTACTTTCAATTGACATAGAATCATGAAATTTGGCAAGAAACAATATCATATAGCACAATTTAACAAAAAAATAATTTAAACTTGATGATTTTGTACGGAAACCTCGTTGCGCAAGTCCGACTCGTACTTAACCGGCTTTTTAATTATGACTTCACCCGCATTCCAAATTTGTTGAAGATTTGTTAAGCTCTTAAATATTACATTTATAATATCATCAAAATCTTCTAAATATGCAACATTATTATGTTTTTGAAAATTGTACATTTTGTGTTTTGGCCATCTAAACTCCGAGTTACTTTTTGTTATCCTTATAAAATATACAAATAAATATTTCGCACATAATGGCCCAATTAAGAGGCTAAGTGAAGAAGTATATAAGTACCCATATAAACTTGCTAATTAAAGCGGTAAATAATTCATCATCGAGATAGATATGCGAAGAAGAGAAGCACAGTGGATATTAGCTCACGATGAATAAAATAACATTACGGCACGAACGCTCAATATCTAATAAGCTTGGTGAGAAATGTACAACGCAGTTGGATTGTACATTTTCTCACTAAGCTTATCGAATAATGGATTAAAATTGTCGTCTCGCATTTCTACGTTATCGCAAAGATGCAAGCAGCCGGCAGGCGATCATTAAAAATACTGAAAGAAATAAATGAAACTTCAGTGATAGGAAACATTTTAATATTTTCGTGATATTTATTAAACTCGATATATTGCCCTGTAGAAGGTATTTTGTATATCATAATGACTAAAAGTAGGCATTATGAAATATGAAACATTTATAAAGATCTGTTTCCTAAATTTATTACTCGAAACTACGTATATGTATGTAGATATTCCTGACATTTTTATATTTATAATTCTTACTCATTTAAGATATTAGTAATTATTTAAAAAAAAAGGCAGTTTTTGGCATTGTTTTAAAATGTAATACAGTAAAATAAAATATAATGTAAACAGACTCTTGCATAACGTAATGTTACTGATTTTTATCATAATGCACTAATTCAAGAATTGTCATGTTCGATATATAATCAGTCGTTTACTGCTTTTACAATTTTACAGCACCGAGTACGTGCATGGATGAGTGCTGAAGGCACTTAATCCGTAGACAGGGGCAAGAGGTCGACTTGTCTTGATGAGTTATGGCTAACGCCTAAAATCATTTTTGCTGTTCCGATCTTAGCTTAGCTCCCGTACTTTGATCTCCGTCAAGAGACTGGGGTTCGATTGTGGTCGAAAGTTGATAAGTGACTAACTTTCTTAGCAGTCAGAAGAGACAAAGCGTGGGTGATATTGATATAACTGATAAGTAATAAGATTAGTAGGTATATAAAATGAGTGTATAAGTCTTAATAACATCAGAATAGACGTGTTATCGTTTTCTTAATTTTTTTTTTAATTAAATTAGTTTTGATAATTCTTTTTTCAATTCATAGGGCTTTTAATCACTTTTAGCTTTCTAACTCTTCCTTAACTGAGAGACTTTTAGCATTAACTATACCTTGTGCTAAAAACTAGATAAATAAAAAAAGTAAATAAATAGAGTGTTGGTCCTATTTCTATAGCAATAACTACTGTTATGACATAATGCGTTATTTTTTTTGGAACGAAATTCTGCTTGTCATTTACAAGGACTTAGGTATTAGAGACTAACGGGCAAAATGAATGGTTCTTTTTTTCCTCACAAATACTTACATCTAGTATAAAATTTCATTGTGTTTTCTTCAAGGGTCTTAAGTTATTCAGCCTTTAAATAATGGAACATAGTTACGTAAAATAAACGCTAAAAATCTATTTATAAGTAAGATGTTTTACCTGTCACTGTGTCTAGAAAGTTTTTTCTTTGGCCACAAATGAAATGCTCCATATATGACCGGATTTACCAGACTGTTTGACATTCCAAAAAAGAATATTCCCGACAAAAGTTCTTCACTTTGCTGTAAACAAAATATGTGTAAAAATTATTACTATTGTCATAATTACTTGTACGACTACAGCTTCACGGGTGAGGACCTAGTGCAATCATGCGCCGTAGGATTATACTTTGTGGCGTAATATGAAAAAAGTTTATGTCCATCAGTGCACAATAGATAGGCTGTGATGATGATGATAACTAGTACGTTTATATAATATACCTAAATAATATTAGCTTATCCGGTTATTGTAGTTTTGGCCCTACTGCCAAAAATATTTTTTATGGCAAGAAAAGTTAACTTGTCTTTCAAGATGGAGCAAAGGGTATACATTTAAAGGTATACATTTATTAAATTTGATTAAAATCAGATGAGCGGTTTAAATAGTATTGTAAGTGAACATTCTGTTTATCAAACTGCTGTTGGCGTAGGAAGCTTCTATAGCTCCACCAAACAAAGGAGACATGTGCCAATGGCACTACAAACGCGCAGATGGTGTAGCCTATTGTCAATTCTTATTTACTAGGTACGATATTTTAGTCTGAGCGCATCGCAACGTATTCTGAACCTCGACTTGAGCAATGTGCTTTAATCTCTAATTGAAAGGACAGGTGGGTCCCAAAGCTTTCGAGTACTGGACTATCCGGTGTCGTTGTATGCGTATGTAATAGTAATACAAGGTCAGTGCTAGAGGAGTGACACGATGGCTGGTTATCGTCATGAGGTCATCGAGTTCATCAAAAACATATCGATGTCTCAAAGTCGAGGGCGACGTTGTCATGGTACAAGATTTCTTTTCGGTACATAGTACATTGACATACATAATAATGATAATAAGTGGGTTGATATATGAGTGGGCGGATTTGAAATAAAGTCGAGATGCTTCCTTCATCAAATTATCCTAGTAGGCGGCTTGATTGCAGACTCGCTTGATGTGAGAGCCAAACGTTAGTTTATTGTCTAAAGTCACGCAAAAGTGACTAAGTACGCCTAAGTATTTAACGTGTGGTGTCCATGAAATGGTTTGGTCGATTAGTTAAATCTTTTTCCCGACTAAAGTATATTGCTGCAATTTTTTTGGAGTTTATTCTTATATGACATCGACGAAATTATTTGCCCAATATTTACAATTTTACACAGATGAGTGACAATGACCATATGACCAAGCGTGAGTATCTTATCTCATATTCGCATATGGAGTCAGCTAAGCCGTTGCATGTCGACCCATCGGGATCTTTTGTGCTTCCCCCTGCCTTATACCATCATTGCGTATACATACACGAGCGTGAGTAAAGAGGGCCGCGTTATCAGCGAATAGTGACATTTTGACCTTTAGACTACGGAAACGAAGGATGTTAATACACTCAGTAAAGTAACGGAAAGGTGACCGCGCCCTGAGTGACGTCAGTTCCAATAGGTGAACGAAAATCGTGATATGGGATTTATATATAATATTTTTTTTTAATTAACGCATTGTCTGATGAATACCAATCTTGTTCACATTATTTACTCATTTTACATTCTTAGCTTAAATAATCTATTCTAACAGATTTTGGCATAATTTTGGATTAGCCTTTTTAAATATTTTAATTCTTCATCATTATATCAGTCGTTATTTGTCCACTGCTGAACATAGGCTTCCCATTATTGGGGGATTTTGCCAGTAATTGCCACGCTTGGTAGGCGGATTGACATGCTGTAGACAAGCCCTAGTGATGATAAGAGGGTTACTGCTGTCTATCTCTCAACCATTAAAATTCTTTAGTCGCCTCTTATGACACTAACGAGAAAAGAAAGAGTTGCCCATTTTATGCCGGGACCATACGGTATATAAAATATTTTATTACCAATAGTGTATTTATTATATTTGTCTAATATTAAAAATACCTAGTCAATGTCTTTCCATAAAAAACAAATCTGCTTATATTAATGAATTGGAATGGCTTTTAGAATTGTAATAATCTTGTACTTAGTAATTTTTGTCAGTAACATAATAACAAATTATATGCCAGGAAAAGAGATAATGCCAGTTCTGTTGGCTATTTGATTCAAAACTGCCCTTGTGAAGATGAAAAAGGCTTTATTTACTAAATTCGTTCTTTCGTGATCATTATAACAAATAAATACAAATTATAAAATTATATCGAAAAACCGGTAACCGATGAGGAAGAAAGATTTTTAGTAGCAATCCCGTACGCAAAAACGTAGTGTAGGACTAGTACTCGCCACTAGATGGAGTGACGACCTCAAATACACTGTAGGTATTCAGTGGACACAGGTTGCTCAAGACCGTTCTTTATGGTAGTCTATGGGGGAGGCCTATGTAAATCGGTGGATAGATAACTGCTATATATAATATCCATACTTACATCTTTATCTGGATTAAGAAATGTAAATATTATCATCATAATGTAGTAAGGAGTCCACCATATTATAAAAGCGGCAACAATCACGACGGACATCCTTAAAGACTTCATTTTAGCTCTATCGATGAGTCTTCGTCTGTTCATATCAGGAGTTAGATATTTCTCTTGTCTTATTACTTCAGGTTGAAAAACTTTTTCGCTCTCTGGAAGGAAGTTTATTAATTATTTTAAGGTAAGTACTATAATCCATAGTAAAGATTAGAAGTTTATTACCAAGAACTTATTATTTTTATTAAATTAGAGGTAATAAATAGAAATAAATCTTATTATATTTAAAAGGTATGAATGCTTATTTTCTATTCTAAAATAATGTAGTCAAAAAAAGTTACATAAATATTTAATATATATAAAGTATGATATATCATAATAAAATAAAAAGTAATAGATGTTTTGAAACCGCAAGTAATTGTAAAGTAATTGTATAACATAAAGTGTAATATAAATTAAGAATAATATAGCTATAGTAATTTGTAGATAATAGTGTTTATTTTACAATTATTAAGATACTTCTACATGTTTCTGTATGATTTAAGAATAATTATAAAATTTACTTTATATACACAATCGGGACTTAACGCGATGTAAAAGCCTTTACAGGTAAATAACACCTACATACCTGTTTTTTTATTGCCGACATTTTGAGCTGGATTGCACCACGTCGTGGTCACGACAGGACAATTTTCCTATAAAGGCTTTTACATCGCGTTAAGTCTCGATTTAAAATATGTCTAAACAATGCTAAAGTTTAAAAGTAACTAATTATAATATTGTTTGTTTTCCCATATAAAATAAATAAATATTAAAATAAATACACCTGTTTGTAATTTCGACGGAGATAATCAAATTTTTTTTAATAATTATCATTAACAACTACCACATTAACAATTTACATTAACGATAATGAACCTAATTTGGTTACATTCACATACCATTTATATTTTTCAGAGTATAAATATTTTATATACATAAAAGCTGTAATGCTGTCTAACAAGTAAACCAGATTTATAAAGCTATTTAAACGAATCAACGACCTTAATTATGACAAATATTTGTTGCTACCAACGGGGAATAGAATTATTCCATAAATAATTGTCAAGAATCTGTTTATAATTTCCTATATAAAAAATACAGATGAATCGAAAACCTTCATCTGTTTGATGTGGCTTAAAAATATTACAAAACCTTCGAGCCCTAAGAAAACTCTAATTAATAAATATCGACCTTTGTGACAAATGACTTTTAAATAACGAAATATGCGCAACTCCGCGACAAAAGGATAAATTTTAATTTTAATAAAAAGCATCTAAAGAAATTATAATACTAAAATTCCATTTCAAAATTTCTCAAAGTTCACTCGGGACCGAAGAGGATTAAACTTTCTGGATTATTCACTTACTTGCTATAGTTCTTACTGTCGATACATAAGTCGACACGAGGATGACTAGAGGCAGTACAAACATGAAGATTAATGACAATGTTGTATAGGCTTGCTCTTGCCAGCGCTCTGTGTAGAATCCATGTGTGACGCATTGATAAAAGTCTTCAACAAACGGCCCTTTTGCCACTCTAAATACTACAGTCTGTAACAAAAACATACAGGATTCAGCAAAATATTGAAATTTGAAGAGATGTTGATCATCTGCGTATAATCTAAAACACCAAATCTGTAATAAATAGAAAAAATAATCAAAATTGCATTATTTATCCCTACAAATGAGAACATCTGCACTACTTCCACAGGTAAAATATTATTATAAAGATTAATTCCAAATTCTATTAATCAATAAACTAATAATCTATATCATTTACTGCTCCATTAAATTTTCTTAAAAATAATATTCCTACCCAGGGTATGATCCCGTTTATTAAAGATAATTGCATTATGTTTTATTACACTAATCATTAGCCCTAATTAAAATTAATTAAAATTGAAACGGAAAATAATGAAAATGTGTTTTTTTTTTTTTTATTTGTAACTGTAGTACACCATTGCTATATAAAGAGGGTAAGTCTATGGTCAGCAATAAAAGATAATACCGAGTTAGTCGTATGAATAACGACTGGGTCTCAGCGTGCCATACCCAAACCCAAACCCAGTCATTATTCATGAAACTAAAAAACCTTAAGGAGCGTAGTCGAAATCTGTAAATAATTTTTGAACATTTCTTTCTAAATCGAGTACGTGACGTGCATGATTTGTATGAAAAGTTAAAAATTCATTTTAAAGTTTCGACTACTTGAGAAATGTTTAATGACACTTCTTTTTTTAACCAAAAATGCCAAAAAACCCATTTGCTAGAACGTGGCAACTATTGCATATAAACGTGACGACTGTGATACCCATTGTGTATTGCCATTACTAAGAGATTTTTTGCCTCCACAACTTGTAATTTCACTGCTATATCCTACCCTTCAAACAAATACACGGATATACTAGTGTCACTACTTTGTGACCAACTGTTTATATTTAAGGAAAAGAAAACGGCAACAAAGAAGTAAAATACTTATATTATTATAATTAGACATTTACATAAAGATACAATTTCAGTATTCTTGTTTAAAATATAATGAATATGTGTTTTATATGTTTTTCTAAATGATCTTTAGAACTATAAAAGGGTTTCAGACATACGATAGTTTTATTTATATTTGGTCGCTTAATAAAAAGTTTATATAAATAAATTTTTAGAGGATATAAAAATGTTTTTGTGAGATTTTATACGCAATAATAGAGCTGTACAGAGAAGAAATTATGAGGGTTCCGCTTTGATCCTTTGACTACAGAACCTTAAGTTAATACGAAATATTATTTGAACAGTTGATTTTTTTTACAACACAGGGGGCAAACGAGCGTGCGGCTCACCTGGTGGTAAATGACTACCGCCACCCATGATCACTCACAACACTAACGGCATTGCAAGGGTGCTGCCGGCCTTTTAAAAAGGAATATGCTCTTTTTTTGAAAGTTATGTTGTCGTATTGGTTCGGAAATACTCCTGCTGGAAGGTGATTCCAAAGAGTGGTTGTGTGTGGAAGAAAGTGCCTTGAAAAACACACGGTGGAGGACCACCACTCGTCCAGATGGTTGGGATGAAATTTTAGTTTATGGCGGGTTGTACGATGGTGAAAATCAACAACAGGTTCGAACAATTCCTCAGAGCACTCTCCATGATAAATTCGATAGAAGATACACAGAGACGCAACATCTTTACGCAGTTTCAGTGGGTCGAGCCGGATAGTCAGGCGCCAATCGTCAACGATTCGTGCTTTCCGAGCGAGCTGAGTCGATTCGAGCTGCCCGACTTTGAATACGATCTAATGGAAGGAGTTGGTAGTGTGGCGCTCCTGCCCATAGGTGAGAACAGTATTCCATATGTGGCCTGCCTTGAGCTTTATACAGTTTCAGACGGTAGTCCGGCGTGAAATACCGTCTTACCCTATTGAGCACCCCCAACTTTTTGGAAGCTATCTTAGCTTTTTCCTTCAGATAACCGAAAAACTGGACGTCACTAGATATATCGACGCCAAGAATCCCCAGACTCGACTTATTATCGAGGGAAGTGCTCTGAAAGTGAGGAGATACGACAAACGGCACCTTTTATGCAGTGAACGCGCAGACTTGTGTCTTCTTATGGTTAAAGTGTACAAGAATTCGTTCACCCCAGATCGAAACTTAATCGAGTGAAGTTCCGATTTCAGGCACAAGTCTGTTCCGGAGCTCATCATATATTATACAAAACTAATCATTTAAGATCATAAAATTTCAGGCATATATAATTGTATCGAGAATTATAATGTCGGAATTATTAATAATTGGGAAAAAATATACAACAAAGAAAATTAGAAACAATACAAAAATTTGTGAATACTATTGTAACAAAATTAATAGAGTAACAACATTAAAGTGATATTTTAAATCACGACTCTGAATCAATATTTTCTTTTACGCAAATTTTTCTTCGGAAACAAAAATGGTGGTTTCGAGCGTCATGAATCGTAGTCTCCATAGATTGAAAATTGTTGTCAAAATGTATTCAGAACTGCAAACTAAATAAATTAAAAAACTCCTTTTAAAAGTTGCTTAAAAATATTATTAAATCATTCGGGTCTAAAACCTTACTTGGGAATTTTTTTTGCATAGTTGAAATCTTTTCAATCATTTTCTCGTGTTGACGTATTAGACGGAGTACCAATTCTAAAATGATTGACTTGAGTTCCGTTGCTCGTTAATTAATTTTTGCGAAAAAAAAATATACGCAAAAACTTTTTGAAATTCACGATTTTATTGATAGTAAATATATCTATATATCAAAATAGACTTAAAACATGTTTCAGTCTATTTTAATGTGTGATTAAACATTCTTATCATCATCATCGTCATTATCATATCAGCCGTTATTTGTGTGCTGGTATTGATGCTCCTTTTCATTGGAGAGTTTGCTGAAAGAAAGTTTTGCAGAGTTAAGCTCACCTTTGTTCGTTTCTTTTCTACTGCCATGTTTCTGAATGTTTTATTTATGTGTAATAAAGTATGAATAAATATAAATATCCCGGAGTAAGCGAAGTACACAATTATTTCAGAGAATTTTTGTAAATGGATACCAATTTCGAATAATTGAATCTTCAGATAAGGGCGTATATATTAAAAATTCCATATCATATTAACAACAGCAACGTCAATCAAATTGTTTTGGTTTTCACTAAATAAAATAAAAAAAAAGTATGCGTAGGACTATAATTCCTAATAGGATTGTTAGTGGTATTTGTTGGTATTTGCCGTTGTAGTAAATTTATGATAACATTTCACTGAGCACATTTTTTATTTATAATCTTAAAAGCTTATTACTGCCATTTATATTTATTAGATTTTTTATCGGTGTAAAAAATAAAACAATCCACAAATTACGTTAAATCAGTAGCTGCAACTGTGAATTACATCTGTTAATAAATTTTGCTTGTATTAACAACGACAAAATAAGGTAATTTGGGAAGACGACGGGCGTTACTTAGCCCACATTTTTATTTGTTAAATTATTTTAATAATATAATAAAATTGTAACTAGATTAGTACGATGTTTGTACATAGGAGATATTTAAGGAAAAATAATATGAGATTAATAATAAGGAAAACCAAAATAATAATGTTTCGAAATTTTGTCTGTCTATCTGTACGTTTATTCTGGTATCACGTAAAAACTTCTATAGTAAATTGAGTGCGGTTTTCGCAGTTGTATTCCTGAAGTTCTAACTTAAAATCTGGTGTATTTTCAACAGATTATAAATACGAAGTTTTCAATTCAGTTGTATTTTTTTTTACATTTGTTACCTCATAACTTCGCCTGTTATAAAACGAATTGGAAAGAAATTAAAAGAACCGAATGGAATAAAGACTACCTGCCGCCTTACTCGGAATATTAGGTTTACAGATGGATCCAAAATAGAAGAAAATGTGGAATATGGTGTCTATTGTATTAGACTACTAGTTAAACTTAGTGTGTATTAACAAAAGTGGCTCTCATTGGACACTGCATACTAAGTAAGCACATATGGCCCAACAAGGCTTATGTTCAAAAAGTGTTTGCAGATTTAGTCACAATTAGAAAGAAACGCCGCAGCACTCAATTTGTAGCTGTCACCTACTAATATAAAGACGATATATCTCCTTTGGAAAATTCACTTAATATTCTGAGTAGATAAAACATATCATTACAAAAAACATCTTAAAATTTCTATCGCTGATAGGAACTAGCAGCAAACTTTAAAAAAGAGCGTGCATAAAAGATCGTAGGAAGGTCGCAATGTTAGGTTTCTCTGCCTAAAAAAGCCCGTTTCTCAATAACAATAATTATACTATAGCGACGATCTGGTCAAAATTGTTGAATTGACGTTCTGTTTGAATGTAAATAATTAATATAGACATGCCATTTTTTTATATTATTTTATATAAGGATTGTTACATTATTCTGTAAGTTTCTACATAATTATGTTAACTTTTTAATATTTTTTCTTAATGTTTGCAGACCTTACTACAGCACTATAATACTTAATAAAATTTAATTAAAATTTTATTTTAAATATGTAACATACATCCTATACTAAAAAAATAATTATTTTTAATAGTATCTGTAAACAAAGGACCTTTTGCCTAGGAAGCTTTTAATCTAGAATATGATTATTTCAATTATCCAAATTAATTCGAATCTAAACTTAAAATGTGCCTTACTCGAGCAAATAATTTGTAATTGCAAAGGCCAATAAGGATTTTTTTTATCAGTAGAACCCTTTAATCTAGGTAATATTCTAAATTGAAAGCCTCATCATTATCTTGTGCAGCAAATTTTGTTTAAATTTATTCTGGTTTTTAAGTGTGACTTATTATAAATATCCATTTTTGCAAACTTTATTTTATGTGGAATAAAATAATAGATTTTGTTCCACATAAAATAAATACTAACTTCAATCGCAAAATTCGTTATTTTGATTTAATAACCAAACTGTCAAACCGATTTTGATCAAATGTCTATAGGACTAATCAGAAAGAGAGTATATCCATTAAGATAAAAATATTATTTTCCAAATGGGTTTATAAATAACGAAGTTCTGTCGTAACAAACATACAGAAATACAAAGTTGAGAACGCCTTCTTTTTTTTTGAAGTCCGTTGAAAATAATAAAAGAGAATATGATTAATGTATACCTTAATGGACATCTAGCTGACACCAAATACTGCATTTCTGACTAAATCAAATTATCATATGAATGCAGAAACTGACCTCCTGAAATCTGTCACATGGTAATTCGAGCGTTTCATATTGTTATATAATAATATTCTGAATAGAGTTTAATTATCATTAAAAAGGTATTATAATTTTCAAGAGCTGCCACTGCTTTCAATAATAATTACCTATATAATTGAAAGTTTATATATATATATATATATATATATATATATATATATATATATATATATATATATATATATATATATATATATATATATATATCGCTCAGTAAATTTTATATATTGTTTTTAAATGATATATTTTAAATTTACTTATCTCTGCGTATATATAAAAGAAAAAGAAATAAAGGGTTTGTCCTTTTTTCAATTCAATTTCAACAAGAACGATGCAAATCCAATCATGTAATTTTTATTGACATAGCCTTTTTTTTCTGATTTGATGATTTAATTAAAATTTATTTAAATTTTGATTAAACCCACACCAGATTTTTTGCAGGTACGTGGATTCTATTTACCTGTAATCCGGTCACGTTAAAATTCGAACAAAATTTTAAATGTGTAAAAACAATGCGATAATTTAAAATTAATTTGATACTCACTAAAGTTATTTAAATGAAAGGTACATAGTATATGCTCTCTGCGTAATTAAAGTTAGTTTTTCATAATAACATAGATACGATCTATATACGTTGAACACCACTGAGATAAAGTCATAAGATTACATACAGTACAATAAAATTATCGTTAATAATTCTTACAATTTACTTTAATATCCAACAGTTCAAAAAATATTTCTGGTCTCAAGGTTTTTTCATTCATAAACGAGAGTATTAAACGCGTATCTAATTCGATATTGTCGTCTGTCCGCGGCGCAGAATATTTTAAACGTGTGAAAAATTGTCTACAGTAAATTCCAAAAGTACGTACAATATGATATTCTGTAGACTGAACAATAGCCTAATTGTGATTAAACTCCGCAGTTACAGCGGCCATCTGTGTTTATTGTGTGGAAAATGTTCATCTTAATGAGTAATCAATAGTGAGACATGCAGACTTTGTTCTCTTTACATATAATAAAAACATAACCAAGTCAAAACTGTACGTTTAATTATTTTTAGAAATGGAATCTATAGGTGTATACACACGAGAGGCAGAACTAAAAATAGTAGATTTTAAAATTTATCTCTATTTCATTGACATTTGATGGTTTGTTTGTGTGTTAGTTTTTATGTAAAAACGTCTAAAATGAAAATAAAATGTATAAGTCAATCGATTTATACAGCAGAAAGTTAAAAAAAATATATAAATACGTAGAAAGACTTTATTTTATTGTTATTATTAAAGTCGTCTATTGTACGAGTAGATAATTTAAAAAGTGTGAAAGAAAAACTGTACAAAATAGTGATGAAAGGTTCTAATTATACTTTTATGGAAATTCTTCGCTTCTATCATTATTTACTTATTAAACGCTACGATAGCTACGTTTTTTATATTTTTCTTTGTTCTTTGTTGCTTAAATACGGTTTCCCTTTTTCTGTTACAAAGACTAGTTCTAAGCCAGTAGATCCATCTGCAAGGTCGTTACTCCTCTTAACATAGAATAAAAAAAAAACTTTCCAAATACTCCTATTACCTACCTATTAATTGCACAATATTGCCAATCTCGAAACTTTCCCGTTGCTTCATAAAGATAAGTGCATATTAATAACGACATATGGATGTGACGAAATCTTGAAAAACTGACTGTAAAATATTTTGGATGGTTTACAGTTTCCATACTATTATAAGTGATCATATTTTATTACGCTTTCATTATTTGAAATTAATGATTAAAATCCAACATCTCGATAAAACTGCTCATTGTGGCATCTTTATCTTGCTTTTGTAATTAATTAATGATAATGTAATTAATTTTCCGTATGATCGCGGTATAGAATAGACCACCACTTCTAAAGGCCAACTAAAAGAGGGTGAGAGACGGGCAGCACCGTCCCTCTTAAAACATCTCCAAAGCCTAACTATTGTTGCCAATACGATTGCCAAGCGTAGCAACTACTGGCAAAACCCCTCAAGTAGGAGACTTATGTTTAGCAGTGGACAGTTAAAAGCTAATATAATGATGAATGTAATTAAATTATTTATTATTTTTTTTGTGTACATGATATCAATCTATTTAATATGTATCATTCTTTAAAGGAAGCTATAAAGAGTTTACATTCATTCGCTCATTATGATACCTACACTATGTGTTGCCTATACTATGAGTATCTGAAATGGTAGGTGTTATTAATAGTAATAAAAATCATTCGAGATAATATAAAACTAAGCACGTTTATTAACAAAGTTTTAAAGTACTATTTAAAACACGTGCGTGGCGGAGATTCTGAGTAAAGGGTGGGCATTACACTAAAAATAACCATTTGTGTCGGGTTGCCAACTCATAATTTCATGCGAACATATTTATAGACAGATATGAATTCATGAAATATAACTGATTCTAAATATAGGATTGTAATCGTTATTTATAGTAATCTATAAAATGAAAGTACAAACAAAGATGATAAAATAAGATCTTTTTTTATTACAAAGTTATAGAATTATTTTTGCTGTCAATAAAAAAGGTAGAGCATTTTCAATAATTTATCTGAGTAATTATGAGATATTTTTATGGGAGTAGGTATAAGTACTATTTATTTTAATTTAATCAAAGTAATATGAGATATAACGAAAAAAATTAACACTCAAAAGAAATACAAAAACATAATGTTTTTAATAATTATGTAGGCTAATTATGAATCATCATATTGACAAAAATTAGGTAAAATTATTTGACTTTAGTTGAAAAGCTGTTGATTTATGGAAAAATAAGTCTCTGAATTAAATTAAAAATATTTATTATCCATTAGAAATTATAAAAATGTACTTGATCTATGTTTTATAAATTAACAGCGTCTCTAATAGAGAAACTCCAGATAACTTTTAATTGCTTTCAACTAGGCAGTTAACTTAAATGTAAAATTAACCTTTTTTTTACTGTAAAATTTCTATCAACGAGTTTATGGTATATAAATTATCTAATAAAAATTGCTTCTATTGATAATAATTTGAAATAGGATAATCAAATCGAAGGAATATTATGTCAAACTTGGATATAAATTATTTACGTTTTACACACATTTATTCAGTTATTTAAGTACGATTAAATTAATTAGATAAATTAATATTTGGGTATTTTTAAAATGACTGTCACATGTTCATACTTAGGAGTTCGTTGCCCGATAACTCATATCAGAGACCTTCGTATATAGTAAAAGCGTCCTAAAAACTCGACACAGAGTGGCGTCATCCCCTTAAGTCTGAACACCGAAACTTTTTTACAGACTTTTGTACTATTTGCCTATTTATATACGAAAAAGAAATGTCATTTTAATTAAAAATATGATCTAATTGCGTACCAAATATTATATAAATTATAATAATTTGATTCTAATAATTTATACGTAATAGACATATTTACATTTATAATATTGATAGGATAATTAAAGTGTATTAGTAAGGAATCAGATATTAGTATTTAGATTATATCAGACTAACCTGAGGTATGCTCAACAAGAGGCTTAAAGTCCATGCAATAATAACCAATCTGCCGCTCCTAGTTGCTGTAGCCATGCTCTTCATAGGATATTTTACAGCAAGCCATCGGTCTACGCCGATAAGAACTAATATAAACGTACTCAGGTACAAAGCGAACATCTGTAGAAATTTGAATAATTTGCAGCCAATATTACCGGCATACCATTGAACAGTTAAAAACCATGCAGCTTCTCCGGCAATGCAAAATATGGATACCAACAGATCAGCTATACTAAGTTGAAATATGAGACTGTAAATAGCTGTCCATGAGGGTCTGGCTCTTCCTCTACTGCGTTTTCCCCTTTTCAGACTTACAATAGTAGCTATGTTTCCAAAGAGCGATAGTATTGCCATTGCAACGAGAATACTAGCTCTAATTATAGTGCTCTTAGTCAAAACTGGTGCGTGATCTAAACACCTCAAGTGCGTTCCATTATATATAAATGTACGGTTAGTATAGTCTTCAGTCTTAGTGTCATTCATTTGGAGAATTTCTAAACATTTTTCTATGGGCCATGCTATAATGTTACTTGCTATTATATCTTTGGTGTCACTGAACTCCCTTTGTAAAGTGAGTTCGCTTGGGTAGAAAACGTCGTCATATAATGTGGTATTGTTGCCTGCGTTGTCCATGTTTCGTCATGCGTATTCAAATACCAATATTCCGAGAATCTGAAACAAACAATTTTCTGTTATTTAAGTATTTCCAAAGTCTTAATAATATCTATCTTGATGCCAAGTCTCTCCCGAGCTAGGCAAAGAAAATCGATAGAGTATTTTAACAAATTAACATTTATAAAGAAATCAAGAGATTCTTTAAGATATTGTCTCAACCAAAAAAAATATTGTATTTTAGTATTTGTAATATCAGGATCTTTTTTCTGTTACAAATTCCAAAATTACTAGTATGTATCAAATTTAAAGTTTTAAACGCCAGTTGTGTTTATGTTACGTATTTTGTATAAATCAATGGTCAGAAAATCTCTATATATATATATTACAAACAACTTACATTTTGCTCTGTAAGAAACTGAGACTACAATTAAGTAATCATATTATATTGATACGTGTAGATTTTACTTCATAACAAACAGGATTTTATTTAAAAAGTAAGTTACGTGGTATATACATTCCTCGCTTTTTCTACGAGTACATAGACTTCAGATCGAATTAACTGTTGTATAATACTTGTGTAAGTGGGAACAACAAAAGGTAAAATGGACTTTGTTTATTTTTACCTCTTGGTGCTTTAATTTCTTCATCAGCTGTCATCAAATTTGGTATATACCTATATAGTATAGAAGGTGGAGAAGGATGTAGTTTACTTTTTATTTCAGTCAATGAGATGCGACGCTGGTAAAATAGGCGATAAATAAAGTAATATTATAAATTTTAATAATTGTTCGTCTGTTTCTTTTTTACATTTTGACACTTTAATAGTTTAACAGCTAATATTAAAATATTATAGACTGAAAAGTAAAAGTTACTTTTCATTCTATATTTTTCATATTTTCACATCTGTTTGTGAATCAGGAGATCAGTGAGTCAGGGGAGAGACATTTCAGAACACTAGACCAACAATTTTGTATGTAAAAGAGAAAAAAAAAGAAAATAAAAAAACAAAATGCAATACAAAGTAGAATACAAATTAATAAAGGCCGCTTCTTGTACCAACTTTTTACTTGGATAAGTCAAGTTAGGTACATAAAAAGACCACAAAAGTTAGCTGTCCGCGCAGTCTCATCTTATAGTTCCCTAAGTTCGTTATAGTTTTACTTTTGCTTCTGTATACGAAACAGACTGTAACAACTAAACAAATTTTTACGTTTCTTAGACTGTATGCACGGTTTATTTTTTATATTTCTAGAATCCCAAATAAAATAAACAAAATTTAAATAATTTTTTTTTAATGATAAATAAAAGTGAAAAATATAATTAAAAGTATTTAGGGTCTCGAAAGTATAGAAGTAGCTTCTTTTTTACAGAACAATATACGAGTATACTTGTTTAGATTAACACCTCACATTTAAAGTTAGTTTAAAATACAATACCCAAATTATTTAATTTATAAATTGCATTTTGAATCTTTATTGCTATTTAGCAATCTGAAAATATAATCAAATTAATTTATTTTCAAGATTCTAAAAAAATATAATAATTATATCTACTCAATTCAATTTCTATTTTATAGACTACGTACGTAAGCTCTAAAATTTTATGATATCTTATGCTAACGTTAGCGTAGATAATAAACTCAAATTTCATCTTATAGAAACGTATAAATAAGTATTAGATGAACAGTTTTTTCTCGTCTCTCTAAAATTTTGGGTGAATAAAAATAATAAAAGCTAATAATATTTAGAAGTTTTATTTATCTGTCTGTATGTAGTTATATTTATTACAGCATCAAGCAAAAACAACTGCAACAATTCGGATGCGGTTTGTGTAGTTGTTTTTGAAGATTGACTTTAAAATGTGATGTATATTTTATTTTAATATGCCTTCTTGATGTAATCTAATTAATAGGTTTTTCTTCATTTTATATACATGCAATTATGGTTGCCTACTTCCAAAATTCACGCATATTAAGTCACAAGCAAAAATTAATAATATATAAAATTGATAATTTTCTGTTATAAAGTGACAGGCAATCATTTAGATGTTAGGAGTGTAGGTCCGAAGAGTTGGAAACAAACAATTTCTACTCAACAAGTTGTTTATATCCAAATAATCTCAATCTGTCTGTTATTTTTGTTTTTCTTTTCTCTCGTTTGTTATTTATTCTGAACCAATTTTTATGAATATATTTTTAATCGATACAGTTTATTTTCTCCCATGTTGGTCTTACAGTGATTTTTATAGACTACAGTCTTCATATAAATAAAGTTCGCGATGAAATATGATTTATATAGCAATTAACACAAAAATAGAAACGCAATGCAATATGATCATTTAGTGAATTAAATAATGACCGTGGCCATGAAGGCAGAGGCAGACTACAGAAATATCGTGTAGAAATACATAGTAGGTATATGTAATTATTTCATTGCAAGATACTCATATTTGTTTCCAATTTATTCTTATAGAGAGGGAAAGGATTTTTAGTATTTGGGGATAATAAGCTTATCGCTTTTAGTATACCTCATTAATATAAAATCTTCCTAATATAAAAAATTCATTAGTAACAAAAAATAGTAAAAAAACATAATTTTCTTATGATACTATTTTTTTTACTATTTTTTTGTATTTCTGGTGAGTTTGTCGGGATGGGATGAGAATATTTCAATGTGAAGCATGCATTGAAATATTTTGATATATAATAATAATAAACAAGAAGTGAGATATCATCATTTATGGTACTTGGCAACGTATACCGATAACGAATAGGTAGTTACCATTCCATTTTTATATCATTAGAAATGGATTACTATAAAAGTAGTTAAATTAAATATAGCACACATCATCATCATATCCGCCTCCAAACGTTCACTGCTGAACATAAGCTTACCCCTTGGGGGGTTTTGCCAGTAGTTGCTGCGCTTGGTAGGCGGTTTGGCAACTGTAGTTAGCAAATTCATCCCCCGCCCTACCATAGTCGCCTCTTACGACACCTACAGCTAAGGAAGGGGTAGACTATTCTATGTCAGGACCACACGGCAATCAATGAAGGTAGAATCATTAAATTCGGAAAATGTCATGTACCGCGAAAACTTACACTAAAAAAATACTTTTACTTATCAACTCGTATACAGTCCAATACTTTTCCGTTGTAGACGTTCTATTTTGCATTTCAGCGCATTTTTTATTATAAGTAGTTTACTTTTGAATCACACAAATTCAGTAATATCATAATTGAAGACACATTAGAATAGAATGTAAATCATCTTTATTTAAATTGCCATATTTAAAAGTTTTAGAGTGAAGTGAGTTTAGTTTTTTAAAGAGAAAAATTAAATACACATAAAATTTCATTAAATAATTATATTCAGATATTTAACTAATGATATATACTAATAACTGTTAGTTATTTGGTATATATTTATATCTAATATAAGTACGTTTTGGGATGACGAAAGATAAAGATTATTATTTGTCTCTGTCGAACGATATAATTTCATCACTTAGACGAAGTCGCAGATAAAAACTATTGATAATATAATAATGTGCATAGTTTTGTTTACAGAATAAAATTATAAGTGTAATGCTTATTATAATTCATAAGGTACAATCATTTTAATATGTAACCAGTTTTTATCGCGACCTTGCTCGCGTGATCGGGATATATTGATTGACCGAGATATAAATGGCCTATGTCGTTCTTCATCTCAAATACACCAAATTTTATGATGATTGATTGAGCTGTTACGGCACCCAGAGATAACAAACAGACAAATTTTTATTTATAATATTGATAGAGATGTTTTTCTGTCTATTCTATACTAAAGCTCTATTCTATACTAAAAGTTGCATTATTTTTAAATCAACAAGTCTTTTCTATAAAATGACAAATATGCTTTAATAGAAATATAAATCCTTCAGATTTGTATTTCCATTCTATATACCCGTGTTATTACATATATGTATTACTTTATATGTAAATAATCATAACATTTTCATATATTAAATTGCTCTGTACGTTCAGTAAATAAACCAACAAAAAGATATCTTATTATATTAATGGAATGTGTTCACTCCACGAACACTCCATTGGAAATCTTGTGATGTGGGGATTTTAGAAGAATCTGTTTGCAGTAATTTAAACAAAGTATACGATTTCTATTGTTTTTACGACGTAATATATTATTTACTGTCTTTTTATATACTATATAATGTAAGAAAACATTATAAAATAATATAAAAAAACCAGAACTTGTGATTTAACAGATACATTCCTTGAGAGAAATTTTAAAAGTGTCCTAAAACTAACATACTTGTTTGAGCCAAAGAAATTCAATTCATTAATACACAGTGTAAGACCCCGTGCGTAATTTATTATTATTTTATTTATTTGGATACTTATTTGTTGACCAAGAACATTATTTTTATGGTTGATATTTATATACTACGTATGAAAATTCAGAACTTCGAATACCTGTTGGTTTCAGTTAGGTATATTGTTAGTTTATAATTATTTTACATATTTATAAACGAGATATTAACCACGATTATATATATTTGTGATTTGTCAATCTGTGACTAGGGCGCTTATAAAAATGTCAGAATATCGGAAGATAACAAATACATAATAACTGTAAATAAATCCTTTATGAAATGTGTGAAGTGGTGCGTATAACAGTGATGTAAGCTTAAAATTGTTTATATTAATTCCTAGAATTAGATGCGATGAATATGACGACCCTAGATAGAACTGGTTAATAATCTATTACTAACTGTAGCAGATAGGTATTTACTGTAACTGAGTATAATGATTACGTAGGTACCAGGGACCTAGTTGAGAATTACATGCAGTGACAAATTTAATACTAACCACAAGTAGACATGAAGTAAGGTCTCGGTTAGAATATGTATTTGGCTGAATCTATTATTATATACATACCAGCTCATTCAGAAAGTATTACGAGAAAAAGTTTTTATGTCTGTGAGACTGGCCAGTTATAATTTATTTAAAAATATGTTTACTTATAAGTAAAAATAAGTACGTTCTAAATTCA